TCGAAAAAATATAGCTCGATGCGAGAAAATATCTGAAACAAAATTGTTTTTTCGTACATTTTGGTACTTCTCACAATTACCTATCGCATTTTGTATCTTTGGATTTGAAGTAAAACAGCCAATACATTTTTTGTAGAGAATTGAATGGGGAATCGTTTGGTAAAAACGACGCGCCGATCGTGTTCAAGAAAGACGAGAAAATTCAAAAATACTAACAGGACAATTCTTTTTGGGCCACCCGTTAGATATTAGTATAAAAGATGTATATTTATCATTCGTATATACTAACCATGTACTATATACATATGTAGACTTCATTCAACATGCCACCTCGCTGAGATGAACACTTCCTTTAATGAACACGTTTTGAACAGTCCCGTCAGTGTTCATCTTAGAGAGGTTTCACTGTAATGCTTATTAAAAATTGATCATTTTTTTTTGTAAGATAGGAAATGACAAATCAAAAGTGTCGAAAATATCATTCGAATTAGAACAAAAAAAATTAAATCCGATTTCATTTGGACATTGTGATCATCGTTCAGCTCGTATGTATAGATTGTCTTTCTTCTCAAAATTATTCTATTGTATAATGAGCTTGAATCATATTATAAATAAAATTTAAACAAAATTTAATTTTCTAGATCATACTGCTCCTAAATTTACAGATCGGGATGAATTAGGTGCAAAAATATTGGCCCATCTGATTTCAATGACTGTTCAACTGAAATATCTTATTGTTGAAAACTTTCGATGTTTAGTATATGTTATTGAACATGTAAGTATTGATTTTATTTTTTTATGTTAAAATTATTGTGCTCTAAGATAATTTTACGTTAAATTCTACGATAAGATTTTTTTAAATATTTGAATGAAAATGATGTAGGAAAAAGATTTAGTTAATTATTTTTTGAGTAATATAAAAGTATAAATAAGATAATTAAAATTTTATTTGCCTTAGGAATGAATTACTTTAGCTTGTAAACATTTTTGCTCTCTTGCATGCGACTTAATTAAAATTTATTAATTGAGGAGTAATCGGTGAATGTATTTCTAACCATATGAGAAAAAAATCTAAAAGTTTTAGGATAGACTCTTCGATCTGAGCCACATCTATGGTACAACATTTGATAAGATCAGACTCCGAAAAGTCCTCCTTGTTAAAACCAGCTCTCTTTAGAAATCATATCAAGTCCCAAAACGAAATTTTTATCTTATCATCATCTCAAGATTCTGAGGATGAGTTTATTTCCAATTTTTCATTCCGTTATAAGAGCATCTTTGCGTTTATATACTCGTACTCGTCAGTTTGTTTAAAAGGACAAACATTGATAAGAAAATATATTCATCTGATTAATTTACAAACATTACATCGTTGGAGATCAAATAATTTTCCTTGAAAATCAAGTTTATTTAATAAAAAAAGAAATTTTATTTTAATTCGGAATAGCATTTAGTAGAATTTTATTAGCTCTTTAGTTTTGTTATAACTGAATATAAAGTTAATATATCTGATAAACCCTTATTAAATGCAAATGTCTCGAGCAACGATACACTTTTTCTATACATGTTTAATCATTAGAGAAACGTTCTCTCTTATTTATTTTTCTGTTTGGAATACGGATTTCTATTTTGTCGAAT